TATATATATATATATATGTAGCTCATGGTTAACACATCTGCCTAAGAGGCAATAGAGCACAGGTTCGATTCCCAACAAGGGTGTGGCTAGCTGATGAGAGCTAAATAGCTTGAAATAGATCTATACTAGTCTCCCTTTATTTATTTATCAGCATAAATATAACATATATATATATTCTTTGTACTTAATGGAGGTATGTAAATGTTTAAAAATAATTCGTATAGGTGTTGGTTGTTTTGATTTGTTTTTTACTTAACATGCATATAGAGGGGGGGCATATAAAATTGTAATTTAATCACATTTTTAAAGCAAATGAGTCAGTATCTGCCTTTTGGATAGCTAGGCCTTTGTTTAGCTGTAGGATTAAATGCTGCCGTAGGTAATAGTTCAGCTGTTACATGTTGATAAGCAAAATGATGACATAGGTCAACCAGTAGGTTCTGTGCTTTTCAGCAGTCCCAACTTGACTAATGACCAAGAATTATTTAGTGATCATCCAAAACATCTGGAGAGTACCAGGTCGCTTATCTTTATAGCAAAAACCATGCAGACAGTAAGAAACTGTTTTATGCCAGGTGATCAGGTTCTTGTTTGCCTTTTAACATTATTGATAAAGGAGTATGAGAAATGCAAAAAAAATATTCTCATGCATGTTACGATACATGTATATGTATATGTAACTGGCCCTTTGCTCGTTGCAGAGAATGGAAACAATTCGCCTCTTCCCAAATATGCTACATCACCAAAACCCAACAATAGCTACATGTTCAAACGTGAACCTCCTGAAGGCTGTGAGAAAGTCAAAGTGTTTGAGGAAAGCTTGTAAGTTGCTATATTACTTCTTAATTTTTTGAATCAGAATATCTCACTAGATTCCTGGTTTCTAAACTTTGATGGTGTAGCTTTATGCTTACTGTTTCTTACTTTTTGGGGTAAAGGCGAACATATCTATACACTTAGCTTTGTGTTTGTTGTGGGGGTGGGGAAGGTTATAATTATTTAAAGCAGTTCCTAGACCCCTTTTGAGAAATCAGGGATCATTCCCCCTTGCTATTCATATGCATTTTGGTTTCTTTAGGGTTAGAGAGGAAAAAGATAAAAGTAGTCCTCAATTTAATGACAATTCATTCAGCAACCGTTCAAAGGTACACCAGTGTTGAATGAAGGAACTTACAACTGGTCCTTGAAGTACAGCCATTGTAGCGTTCCCATGGTCGTGTGATCAAAATTTGATCAACCTTCCCATGCTTATGATTGCGGTGGTGCTTCAACTCAATCATCTCCTGTCTCCCTCCCATCTATGCCTTTTTGACTCCTACATTCTTCAGCCTCGGTCAGCCTAGTTGACCTTCGCCATCTTGCTCCTGCTGCTGACCAATCATACGTGGCCTGGCCCTTCACAAGGCAGCTGCTGGACTTCACAAGGCTTTCTTCCCAAGGTTGGGCATGGCAGTTTCCACATGAGACCTGACATAGCCAGCACCTGCCTTGTAAAGAACCAGAGCGGACATGTATTGTCAGCAGCAGGAGTAAGAAGATTGCAGTGGTCAGCTTGGGTGGTGGCGGGCAGGGGCTTCGAAAGGCAGGGTGGCAAAGGTAACTGGACTTGGGCAGCGGTGCTGTTGGGGCTTCTCAGAATGCTGCAGCTTTGTGCCACACTATTGGGGCTTCCTGAGATGCTGCGACTTTGCACTGCACAATTGCACCACTTAGCAGCAAAAATTCTGGTCCCAAATATGGTAGTAAATGGAGGACTACCTATAGTATAATAGGTGTGCCAACATGGTTTGACTGCTTAACAAATAATCAGACTCCGAGAAAAAATTACTACTATATGCGGAAGCATTTCCCCCCCTATTTTGTGAACAACTCTCATTCATTTGGGACAAAAAGAGAAAAGTATTTCATGCTACTGTGTTTCCCCGAAAATAAGACAGAGTCTTATTTTCTTTTGACCCCCAAAATATTGATTGGGCTTTATTATGGGGGGAGCTTATTGTTTTGGGGTTGCCGGGTGGCTGCTTTCTTGCGAGCGGGCTCCCGAAGAGCCAGGCACAGCCTCAGAGGCAAACGGCTGTGTTGCGCTGTCACAGCAGTGCAATACACCAGCCATGAGGTGACTACGTTCACGAGCAGCCACCTGGCAACCCCCCTTTTCAGCTGGGCAGAACACCACTCACCAACCCAGTGATATCCCAAAGGAACTAAGCCGCATGGTGCTCTGCCCTCCCCCCAGTTCCCGTGGCTTGGTGCATTTGGGATACCCTTAGGTCAGTGCATGGCGCTCTGCTGGGTTGGAAAGGGAGGTTGCGCAAGTGCCTGTTCCGTCCCCAGCTGGTGTGCCTCCCAACTTCACCATGCCCTGGCCCAGCTCTCCCTGCAGGACCAGGGTGCTGCCGTTCCAAGCATAACCTATTCTCCAGCTTCCAAACTCCGGAGATCCACAGCCGAGTCTTTCGGCAGTGGTCACTCTGGGAGTACGCTCTATGGTTGTAGGCTGGCTGCCAGCAGAGCATACTCCCAGAGCATACAACCATAGAGCATATTCCCAGAGTGGCAACTTCCGGAAGACTCTGCATTCCACCTCCGTGCTTTGGAAGCCGCAGAAAAAGCCATGCGGGGGCAACGGAGATGTCCTGGCTCTGCAGGGAGAGTTAGGCAAAGGCATCGTGAGCCTGGGAGTCGTGCGAGCGGGGAGCGGAAAAGCCGCTGGCGCAACCCCCCTCTCCAGCCATGCAGAGCCCCATTCACTGACCTAGGGGCATTCTGAAGGCGCCAAGCTGCGGGAGCCAGAGGGTGGTGAACAGGCACTCACGCGGCTTAGCAATACTCCTAGATCAGTGAATGGTGCTGTGCCCGGCTGGAAAGGGGTTGCCAGGTGGCTGCTCGTGAGCCTGGTCACCTCATGGCTGCTGTGTTGCGCTGCTGCAACAGCGCAACACAGCCGTTCACCCCTGAGGCTGTGCCCGGGTCTCCGGGAGCCTGCTTGCAAGAGAGCAACTGCCCAACAACCCCCCTCCAGCTGGGCACCGACCTAGCGGTATCCCGAAGGCGCCAAGCAACATGAGCCTTTGCCCACCCCCACCCTGTTCCTGCGGCTTGGTGCCTACAGGATACCGCTAGGTCGGTGAGTGGAACTCTGCCTGGCTGGAGGGGGGGTTGTCCAGGGGGCTTATTTTGGGGGAAGGGCTTACATTTGTGCCCACCTGAAAAATGTGGCATGGCCTTATTATCAGGACATGTCATATTTTCAGGGGAACACAGTATGTAATACAACATACCATAAACTTTTGGTAATTCCTTGCAGCCGTTAACTTTGTTAATTAACTAAATTAATTTTTAACTTCCAAACGTTAATTCTCTGCGGTGGTGTTTTTCTGTTTATAGGCCAAAACCTTTGCATGAAATTCCAGCCTTTTATTGCCCTGACAAGAATAAAGTTAACTTTATTCCTAAAAGTGGCTCTGCCTTCTGCCTCGTCAGCATTCTCAAGCCCCTTCTTCCCACGCAAGATCTTACTCTCAAAGGTGCTACTCATAATCTGACCGTCACGACTGGGATGACGCCCGCGCTGCTGCAACCTCTCTCCATGGCCTCCCTTTCAGCAAACACAGACCAAGAGCGCCTCTCTCGTGGAACCAGCAAAGTAATATCACAGATGTCTGTGCTCCAGCAGTCAGGACATAGTGAAGAAACTGAAGGATAAGCTCGGCGTGGCTAGTGGGGAAGGAAGGGGGGTTATGGAAACAACTGTGATTCAACTTTCTAGATGACATCTCTTTGTATCACAACAAGCTGACAGTTCCATAAACAGGTCATAGTTACCTTACACACCATGCCATGAATGTCAGCCTCCTGTGAGATCTTGGAAAGAAGGAGCAGCAGAGAGCCAAACGCATTTGGTCTTGGGATGGTTCAAGTGCAGACTCTGAGAGCCATGCTGCTTTGGTACCATAAAGAAGGGAGATCTCCACAATTCCTCACAACTGGAGGGACCAATTTTTTTTTTTTCTGATACTTTTGTGTTTCAGTGTAAACTTCGAGTTTGAACAATGAAAAAGACATCCCAACTTTTCTTAGCAGGATATCTGCTTTCAGGAGGAAAAAACAAAGGAAATCATTTAATTCATATGAAGAAAGTATTTACAAATGTGCATTTTCTTAATTTCATCATCATCATCATCAGGATAATTGCACTTTTCTTGCTACATCTTTTTCACTGGGACCAATGGATTGAAACTTTTTTTCAGTATTCTCTCATAAGAACAGCTGATTTTGCTCCTTTCCCCAGATTAGCGTAACATCATTCAGACAAAGAAGAAAAGCAATATTGCCACATGCTGAAAGGGGTGGATGGGGAAGGGGGAAAAGCACATGTGCGGAATTTCTTGTCTGGAAATAGCATTTTTAGTGCACGTCAGCTAATCATGTCATGGGTTTATTCCCAATGTATTTCAGGACATGTTTCCATCCTTTTTCCCCAGAACGCCAATTAAATGTCACGAAGGTGCCTCTTGGGACAACTTAGTTTTTTATGTTACTGTCAAAATCTTGAATTGCCTTTGGCATATATACCTGATTCTATCATGTCTTGCCACTATACTATATAAACCCTGTAGTCAGTCATATGATCTTAAAAAGGGCCATGCATGCATGGTGGTTTTTTGCTTGTCAAAGTACTGTTTTGTGGGTCTGTTGAGGGTAATAGTTTGTCGGGCATGATATTGTTGAAGCAATTTATTTCAATGGACATGTCTCCTTTTGGAGTAGCAATATTGTTAGGGTGTTAAGCTAAGAATCTTGTTATCCTTTCATTGATGTGGCCCATTTCATTTTTAGTGCTTTTTAAAAAAAATCAAACTATACTTGTGGAAGAATTGAGGATAAGAAATTTATGTTGTTATGTTTGCTTGTGAAAGGGTCTGAGCTAATAATGGGTAGAAAAGTGTATTTACCAAGCTGATTAAATGGCACAAGATATAGCCGTTGGGGGGATAGTTAGAGAGAAGTTACATTTAGAAAGCAATATATTCTGGTATCTCGAAGCAAACAAAATTGTAGCAGTGTAACCTATTCCAGACTGGCAGATAAACAGACATAGCAACGTCAGCATGTTTTTGATGCAGTGTTAGTTGGAAGTGAACCACATCCACCTCGAGTGGATCTTCGATTTGTTTTGCTACATTAGTAATACAATATTTTAAATGATTACTCCTACATTGTTTGGCCTCTTGATTCTTATTAAAATTAAATCAACTGAGTAAAACCTTGCCTTTTGATTTACCCAGATAGAGGGTTGATTTGTCCATTTAACAACATAGGTTCGGATGCAGAAACGTTAAATGTTATAATATCACTCTTAGTTTTTAAGGCACCAAAACACTCCTTTGCATTTGCTTGCCACAGAAGCTATCCTGGTATTTCCTGGATGCAAGAACATGGAGGGGAGAGCGGAGACTGTACTTAACAGAGGCCAGTCCTATGCCAACTTTCTACAGCCTGACATACCATAGAGCAGTGTTTCTCAACCTTGGCGACTTTAAATCCTGTAGACTTCAACTCCCAGAATCCCCCAGCCAGCTATGCTGGCTGGGGGATTCTGGGAGTTGAAGTCTACAGGATTTAAAGTCGCCAAGGTTGAGAAACACTGCCATAGAGGCTCTAAAAGATATCTGGACTTGCATGCAAGATCACGTATGTTGCTTTTGTGATTCTGCATTCTGCTGTAGTCCATTCCTAAAGCAAGTGAGGAGCGTTATGTGCTTTTATGGTGCATGAATGTACCAGAATAAAGCTGCTCTTCAACTTTTTCCTGAACATAATGGAGGTTTGTGAGAGTGGAGATGATGTTATATGCCTAGGTCTGTTTTCTCTCCACCGATCCAAGCAAATGCATAAAGGGGCTGGACAGACAACACTATTCTGCTGGAAGTCTTTTTATTTGATTGCTGTTGTATTTTGGTCCTATATTGTATTGCTTTATCTTTATTTCTGTTATATTCTCTATTCAGATATTTTAGCAGAGCAAAATAGTCTTACACCCATTCTACAGTCTTAAATTTGTGGGTCATCTAGATTTACTGTATGAAACATAAGGGGAGAGCTAAGTCTTTCTTACTTGACTTAATAGTATTTTAATTTTAGTTTAAAGCAGATGTAGGTTGTGTGAGAGAACAATATCTTGCAAAAAAAAAGCATTGCTTAAACAATATGAAGCCCCTTTTACTGCTAGACACATTTGTGCATTCTCAAAATGTTTAATGCTCCAGCTTTATCAAATGAGAGTTGGATTATATTTGTGCAAAAGGATATCTCCCCTTTATCTGAATCCACTCCTGTTGTTTCATGTTAAGGAACAGCTTAGATTTGACAGACTGTGTCAAATCCTTCAGAGGATTTGTGGAAATATTAAAGGGCCAAATTACAATTAGGAATAATGAAAAAGAGTGGGTCTTTGAACCACAACACTTTCTTTTCATGGATCGTTGTAAACTGTGTTCAACTTGAATATATTGAAATCTTTTAGACATGATTTTCACTGTCCTCATTGATGCCAGAACAAATGTCAGTAGTAAATGACTCTCAAGACATTTGAGGCTGGCCTTCAAATGCACATTTAAAAAACTGACACTTCAACTTTTATTAAGATAACAGCATTTATTTAGCCCCTGTGATATTGTAATAATGTGAGGATTTGTATATTAAACCAGCAAGGGCTTAATTAAAACATTTCTACCTTTATGCAGTGAGAGGACTCAGTTGATTTGCAGCCACAAGATGTTAACTCATAGCAAGCATAGTTATCATTTAGAACAGCAGTTTTTATGTTTCTTCAAACCTCGTATTATCTTTCTGTGTGGTAAGTTACTCTTCTTTGGTATGTGGGCATTTAAGCTAATGATTTCAAGAGAGGTAGGAATGATAAAAGTTCAAGGAAATTGTAAAAACAAGGCAGAGAACTTGGACTCTCTTCCACAGTCAGAGGCATTGTACTTCCAAGTCACATGGAGAGCTTGAAGCATTCTTATCTCTTCCAAATAAATGCAGCTGAAGAACTTGCAAGATTGTTGAGAAGCATTTTCTAGGAGTTGGTTTGAGAAAGAAGATAATTTCTTTGCCATGGATGATTCATGGTTAAGAGTTCACGAGGGCTATATATTTGAAAAAACGAGAAAGAATAATTCCTCTTATTCCTAAAAGCAATTATCAAAGTGGAACTGGGTATTCTTCATGTACCTTTGCCCCTTGTTCTCTTTTGTCCTAGAGCTACCAATATTTCCTACTTTCAATAAAAGGTGGGGGGAATACATCTTATTTTCACCCAACTTGTAGAGAAGCAACAGCATTGAGATAAGGGGAGAAGAAAAACTAGGAAAATGAAAGACAGCAAAACAGATTACCCAACGTAAGGATGGGTATCTGATGGCAAAATGAGATTCAAGGAACAATCCATAAAGAAAGATGGACTTCTCTTTATCCTTGTGCCTCTTTGCAAGTTTAAATTAGCTAAAATATACATACTACATGAATTGCAAGTTTTTGGAGCTGAAAATCCAGAAAAAGGAGACAGAGAAATAATGGCCTATTTAATATTATTGCACACTTAGAAGTTGACTGCTGACATGCAAATTGAACAGAAGTGGTCATGTGGCAAGGATTCCTGAAATCTCTCAAAAACAGAATTAATTATTGCGTCCTGTATTTGGAAATAGAAATTAAAACAAAGTAATGTTATATGAAGGCATTAAAAATCCAATGTCTTCAACTGATTTGCAATCATGTTCAGTGTAGCTTATGCTTAATGCAGGGGTATGAAAGCTGGTTGCGTCGCGCAGACTATTCCCACCCCAGCTCCGTGAAGGGAAAAACCATTGCGCTATGTCATGTGACGGTAACGTGACATGGCGAGTTTGACACCCGTGGCTTAATTCTTACAACATAAGAGGCTGCTTTTTTTTTTACTTCAATTTGCACCAGTGTTACTTATTCATAACTCATTAGAAAAAAAAGCATTCTTTCTGATGAAATTGTTATCTGCTTGTATAAGCTATTGGTGGCCTAAAAGTGGGCCCTTTAGAGAAGTTTGGTGATTGACTTCCATGGGAATGTAGCTGCACCACAACAAGTTCGAAGATTTTTTATGTTTATAGTATGTGCTTCAGCATAAAACTGTGTTCAAGACTACAGTTGTAGCTAATTGAGGTCATACACAGAATATAAAAAAATATATCAAAAAGGTCAAATTTCCCTCTGACTTTCTCTCTCTCTCACACACACACACGAATTGCTAATTTTCAAAGATGAGTTAGTGAACCTGAGTGTTTTTATGATTTCTGGTTTCCTCGTTTTGTTTAGCTATGGATATGTTCAAATGCCAATAAAATGTTTATGAAGTTGTAGCTTTCCACACACTCTAGTTCTGCCTAGATATTGTATAAGTCAAGTGTTTCTCAACCTTGGCCACTTGAAGATGTCCGGACTTCAACTCCCAGAATTCCCCAGCCAGCATTCGCTGGCTGGGGAATTCTGGGAGTTGAAGTCCGGACATCTTCAAGTGGCCAAGGTTGAGAAACACTGTATTAGAGGTCCGCGGGATTTAAAATTATGAATTTAGTGGTCCCTGAGGTCCGAAAGGTTGGTGACCTCTGCTCATAACAACAGCCACAACAGCCTCTTCCTCTGTTGTCCGAACCAGCAAAAAAACAACATCCTCTGGGAATCGGACAATGCAACATCTGTCAGGCGTGCAGCCATCTTTCCTTTTGGATCTTTGGCCTGCCACACTTTCTATTATTCTGCTATGCCTTTTCTATGGTGGGAAAATGGGATTGCACAGAGTTAGATGATATGTAGCCATAACAACATTCTTTCTAG